AGGTTCGTTTTTTTTCATTGAATAATTGGGAAAAAATAAATAAATAACTTCATACTCTGTGAACCAGACCCTAAACTTAAAGTCTGGTTGAGTTTTTTCCTTCATTAATGACTTTTATTACATACATTATATCTATCATGGTAATTCAGGGTGAGTTATGTATAATTCTACATGGATATCCTTGTTGGATTTTATTTAAGTGCTATTCTCCTTCAAGCTACATTTACCTAACGCCAGAATAAATGCAATGTACTTTATGCAGCAAAGGAAATTAGACATTTATCCATTATGGAGATGATTGGTTTTGGACGGGCGATGTTCCCCTATTGCATAATCAATACTGAAGAATGACTGATATCATTAACGATACAGGGAAGAAGCTTTCAGTTATCTAGCTTTGCTAGCAGAGTCGTTAGCTAGCAGCTAGCTAATAGCACAACAACAACATCCTAATGTCTGTATGATAAAAATACCGAATCGACAGATAAGAACAGTTTTTCCTCACCTGGCTGTCTCCTCCCGCTCAGTAGTTCTTCAGAGAAAGGCAGACGCAGAGCCCTGTCAGTGTCTGTTGTATTTCATTATCTCTCTGCTTAAACCGCTGAAGCAGAAACGATACTTCAACGTTTTCCGTTATCTGACAAGTAGCAAGTCTACTCCACTTTATTCACCAAAAACGTTGTTTTTTTTTTAATTCACCAAAAACTGTTCTGTAATCTGGAACGTTCACTACATTGAGCTTCAGTTAGCCGCCTTATCTCACAGCGCGAGGGGCCATTGCGTCATGTGTCACGGGTAAAAGGTCAAAGGTAACAAGGTGACCGGAGGGCTTATTATGTTGTTTTTCTTGAAAAAACAAACAAACAAAAAAACCAAATAAATTTAGTACATGTTATGTGTCAGAGGGCTTAGGAAATAATAATAAAAATAAAAAAATTAATAAAAATTTGACCAAAAGATCACTGGGGGGCAAGGAGCAAAAGGAGCAGGCGCTCAAACTCCCTAGCATTCTCCCCTCCCCCTCCCTCTGCACGTGTCTGCTCCCAGTTGCTGTCCCAGAATTTACCTGCTGGCCTCCAAGATCCTGGAAAACAGGTCCTCACCATAATCCCCCCTCCACCAAACTTTACACTTGGCAGAATGCAGTCAGTCTCCTGGCAACCGCCAAACCCAGACTCGTCCATCAGATTGCCAGATGGAGAAGTGCGATTTGTCACTCCAGAGAACACACCTCCACTGCTCGAGAGTCCAGTGGTGGCATGCTTTACACCACTGCATCTAATGTTTTGCACTTGGTGATGTATGGCTTGAATGTAGCTGCTCCCCCATGGAAACCTATTCCATGAAGCTCTCTGTGCACTGTTCCTGAGCTAATCTGAAGGCCACATGAGGTTTAGCCTTGACTCTGCACAAAGTTAGTGACCTCTTCACACTATGTGCTTCACCATTTACTGACCCCGCTCCATCAGTTTATGTTCCCTACCACTTCGTGGCTGAGTTGCTGTCGCTCCCAAATACTTCCATTTTCTTAGAATACATCTGACAGTTGACTGTGGAATATTTAGGAGCGAGGAAATTTCACCACTGGATTTGTTGCACAGATGGCATTCTGTCAGTTTCCCCAGGGAAGAGAGAACGAGTCATTCCTTCATTAATGTTAATTAAGAAAATAACTTTGTATGTGGATGTTCGCACCTGTGGGACGCATGTTTGATCATTCAATATGCGGAGGATGCCATTTGGTCTGGAGGAGATCAATTCCAGACAGGAGTGAAAGTTCTTAAGTTGCACTGGATACCAAGGAATCTGCTCTTTATTATACTCCTCCTGCAAGACACACACAATTACGCCATACAGTTCAAGTAGTGAGATAGACAGTACGATAAGTAGTTGATTTTAATTTTTCTGGCTTACCTGTTCCTGAGAAAGTAGAGTTTTGTTGAGAAAATTCTGCAACTGCTCATTGGCAAAGTTGATACACAGTTGCTCAAAGCTGTTCACTTCAAGATCCTTCACAAAGGAGAAACAATTTTTTATGTAACCTACATCACCCCCCAAAAAACATATCCAGTGATGTATCTGAAGGTCCCAGGGTTAGAAAGCTGATTACCAACCTCAAAGCCGTAAATGTCTACGACACCAACAGTGCTGTCCATCTCAGCTGGGCTTAGCCAGTCATTAATTTGCTCCAACAACCATTCAAACAACACTGAATACAAAGCTTTGGCAATTGCATTCCTAGAGAGGAAAGGTATAAGTAGAAACATGTATAAGCCTGCCTGCCATTCAGAATTACCCATTTACTTCATGACTTCAAGAAACTGAAGTCATGAAGTAAACATAAAATTGCAACAGTTGGGCTTCATACCCAACTGTATATGCCCACATGCATATGTGCTAAATGTACTTTTATTAGGACCAAGCAGTGAAAGTGCTGCAAAGGCCTATTGTAGCTCAAGGATTTCTTGTCATTCTTTTCTGCCCAAAAATGGAAATTTGAGGGTCTAAACTTATTCAAAGACTCACCAAACTTCACCCAAAATCGTCCCCCATCTGAAATGTAACTTTTTTAATGTGATCAAAAAATTAATTAAACTAAATGGAATTAATTTAATGGCCAAAGTGCTCTACACTGTCAGATAGACTATACATTGTAGAGATCTTAAACTTGATATGAAGGTAAATCCCCTTCAAGTCAAGAAAAAAAGTCTTTTGAAGGTATGTTAATGGATATAATAATGTTCTTGGTGATGTAGGCAGAAATAAAATGCTGAAATCAGCTAAAAAATATTTTTTTGCTGTGGAAAAGCTTTGACCAAAGACCTTATTTGCATATAACTTATGTCAAAATATATTTGCTATTTAGTTTATGTACAACTAAACCAGAATGTATCAAGTTATTTTAGGTTTGCAATAGAGATGTGCTGATCAGGTTTTTTCCTGCAGATTCCGATTCCGATCACCCATGAGGGCCGATCACGGCCTATCACCGATACCGGTCATATAATTATTTTTTTAATCATAAGCACTACTGGTTACATTATGTGGAAAAAGGAACCATGAATTCACCTTAATTTACAC